GAAATTCGTTTCTGGACAAAATCCAGCATAACTATACATTTAAAAAAGATGTTTTTTTTTACCCCGGCATCAAGCGTGGATCCAAATAAGTTGCCTCGTTTGTAGTAATTAGTGTTCCTGCCGATCTTGACATCCTACTGCAAATCTTGGTTTTTTTAATTGAGCGGCGAGTCTATGGTAATAGGTTAAAGCATAGGCCACGTGAGCGACTAGGACATGTTGACCACTTCAAACAAATTTTGACAGACATTTACATTTTTGGGTACAAGATTGGGCAACCTTCTCACTTCGTCCCTTCTGTCATTATACCGGTAATCGATTTTCAGTTTTTCAACTGTACAATGTAGGGGAAGTCAGTATGAACAGTTGTATCCCGAAAGTTGTGCGTATGGTAAAGCACTACACATTTATAGAGTACTGATTGTCCTCTGATAGCTTGTGAAAATTTTGTTCCACAGAAGACGAATGATTGTAGCTCAGCCATCAATATTCGGAGTGAGTATGAGAAGCTTTGTTCCGATCAACTTTATGTGTGAATTGTTTGACCACCAATTTGGAAGTAATTTGATCAAAAACACTCATTTTTCTCAAAATTCCCTTGCGATATTTTGCGCCATCAACATATTTAATTTCAGCCCATAGTTTCATATCGTCAGAACGCATGAAAATTTCAAAATCGAAATATTTTTTGCAGTCAGTCTTAGAAACTAGGATGATTAGTGAGCTAAAACAGAATATTGAATATTCAATCTTTGCCCTGTCTGAGGTATAATTGCCAACGGTAACACTCTATGCTCTGAAGGGGAAAAAATGTTCAATTCCTTTGAAAATGTTGTCTCGAACGCATATATTCTGAATCATGTCTAAGATTACTTAGTGTGTCACACTATCTATCTATTTGTTTATTGTCCAGTTACAGGCAAGGTCAACAGAGATATATAGCATAAGATCTAGCTGACGGTGACAAAGCTCCGCCGCATTCTTTCTAGTGTTGTCAGGAGAAAAAATTGCGGCACAGTGAGTTTTCAACTTTCGGGAATAGAAAAGATTGATACAGGGGCACGATGCGCCCAGTCTCCCTTCGATGTAATGGATCCGATATTATCCACCTGATAACGGTGTTCCGACGAATGGTTTTCCGCTGTTGGCTAAAGATGTAACCGATTGCGGACTTCAGACTCAGCACCACTATCTGCAGCAGGAAGCGTAGGACAGAATTTAGATTCCCCGAACGCTATCAGAGTGGGGGAATGATTCCGCCGAATCTTGAAAGGTGTCCTGAATGTAGACAACTAGTGATAACTTTCGTAAAGACTGGATAGCTTTGCTAAATTCTGATACTTCTAGGTAGCTTATTCCAAATTGCAATGACGTTTACTGAAAAAAACTAGCGATAACTACCTGTGCATGTCAGAGGAAGAACTAAAAAGACATCTTGGTGAGTAGTGGGCCAAAGTAGTCGATCTGTGTTAGAGTAGTCAGGGGATTAAAGGTACGACTATTTAAAAGTTTAAGCAGACAAAATACTCCCTTGTGCAATCTGCAAAGCCACAACGGAGCAAGGTTAGTAAGTTCACAACATTGTTGGTAGGACAGGCTACGGTCTTCTGACGAGAACAGTCTTTTAAATCTAATGCTGACCTGATTCTATATTATTCTGTTCACTAGCCCACAGAAGGCTTAATAGAGACCAACATTATTTCAGACTAGACCTAACGTATATTCTATATAGACTGGTCCTAATATTGATAGTTTTAATATTATAGAGACATTTCGGCGTGCTTTTGAGAGTGTCAGGACGCAGTTCTCTGACTGCTTAAAACCATTAGAATAAAAATTTGCCTAGATCCTTAATAACTCTGAGA